CGCTCCCTCAGCATGCACGAGGCACTGGGTTTGATTCTCAGCACCACATAAATGTAAAATAAAGATATTGTGTCCATCTAAAACTAAAAAATAAATATTAAAAAAAAACCACATGTAGCTGTCATCCTTTCAATCATGTTAGGCATGGCCAAATATTTAGCTACCTTCTTAAAAACAATTTCATCTAGGGACACTTTTCATATCATAAAATGCACTTATAGTAAGTATATGGTTCAGTGATGTTAAGTCAGTTTATACAGTGGTGCAAGCACCATCACAACTCAGTTTATGATTGCCTTTGTATTCTCTATTTTAATAAAGTATATTTAACATAAAATGTATCATCTTAACCACCTTCAAGTGTACTGCTCAGAAGTGTCACCAACATATTCACATTGATGGTCAACCAATCTCTAGATTACTTTTTAAAAGAGCAAATTTTATTGTGTAGATTTAAAAAATACAATGTGGGCTGGGGATGTGGCTCAAGCGGTAGCGTGCTCGCCTGGCATGCGCTGGGCGCTGGGTTCAATCCTCAGCACCACATAAAAATAAAATAAAGATGTTGTGTCCACCGAAAACTAAAAAATAAATATTAAAAAAATTCTCTCTCTCTCCCTCTTTCTCTCTCTCTCTAAAAAAAAAAAAAAAAAAACCAACAAAGTGTCATGGGATATACATAGTAAAAAGGTACCAAAACGTCACAAGTGAAATGTCTGTCCTCTCACATTATAATCAAACTTCATTCTTTTTCTAACAAGAGCAATTAAGATTCACTCACTTATCCAGATCCCTTTATGTCTAGAGAAATTGGAACTCCTACCCCCATTCAAAGATACGTCCCCGGTTGCCCCTCTACCCAGACCATGGCCAACACAATCTACTTTCTGCCTGAGTGGATTGACTTTTCTGGGTACCTCATATAAGTGGAATTACGCAGTATTTGTTGATGTTTTGGTATTTGTTGTTTTGTGACCGACTTATTTCGTAATGTTAAGGTTCATCCATATGGTAGCATATGTCAGAATTTCCTTCCTTTTCAAGAAATTGAATAATATCCCATCGTATCACAGGCCACATTTTGCTTATCCATTCATCTGATGATAAACTCTTGGGTGGCTTCCACCTTTTAAATATTGTAAAGACTATCACTATGAGCACAGATGTACAAATAATCTCTTAGAGACCCTGCTTTCAATTCCTTGGGGCTATATACCCAGAAATGGAATTGCTGGGTTATATGGTAATTCTATCTTTAATTTTGAGAAACTGCCAGACTGTTTTCTATAAGGGCTGCTCCACTTTACGTGTCTACCAACCATTGCCTTTAACATTTTATTTTACATTCAGCTCCAGAGTCATCCGCCACTGATTCATTATCCACTGGGTGGGTCTTCCACAATCCATCACGACAGTGAAGTGCTTGGGATGGACATGGTGGTAACGTCCACTGTGTGGACTGGTGTAGCCTGCAGTGTGAAAGCCAAGCAAGGGACAAGAACTTATGTCCCTTCTCTCACAACGGTTGTGTCACATGGAGATACGAAATATGGTACACTGAAAATAAAGAAGTCAAAATTGCATTAATTCAGGAGAAGCAGGAGTCAGAGATGGGCATTCTGTAGGCATGCTGGGTTGTGAAAACAAAATATCTAAAACCACTGGCAACACAGTATCTATTTTTACTCTCTTGATCCTGTGGCTAACAGGCAGCTGGAGTCCCCTGCTCTGGCCCAGCATCTCAAGAGAGCATTGGAATCTATATGGCTGGCTTGGGAAAGATCTAAATTCAAGTTTTGAAGCATGGTTTCTAATGAAGGCCTATGCTTTCACATCATTATAAAGTGGAAAAATTGTACATCAAATCATAAATCAAGGACCATCTGTATGCAATGACATATGACTCAAATTTTGAATCACAGTATACGCTATGAAGGGAGAGAATTGGCTTCTATAGGTACCACAATAATAGGTGGTGCCTTGTTTGGATGAAGGAAGGCTGGGGTTTTTTTTTTTTTGTTGTTGTTGTTTTTGGAGGGGGGTTGGGATTTGAACCGAGAGTGGGGCCAGGCGAAGGGAGGTGAGGAACAAGAAGGAAGACATTTCCTAGCAGAAAGAAGAATTGGAATTCTGTAGAAAGAAGTAGATCTGCCCTCCAGTGAGACCTACACACTTCACCCAGAAAGTTCCTGGATTCATAATTCAGCCCCCATTTATTTGCTAGTGTTCACAGTGCCAATGGGAGCTACGGGGCCTCAACTTACCCATCATTGAAATGGAAATTGGAAAAAAAAATAAAGAATTTTAATGAAGATGAAATAGTAAAACTTCAATATTCACAGACTGCTGAAAAATATACCAAAAAAGCACATTTCCTGAAAATTCCTTTCTGGAACAAAGAAATTGACTGGATTTTAAAAACTCAGTTGTCTAAGAAAAGATATTGAGTAGTTTAGTATCATCCTCTCCTTGGATCACTTCTCTTTTCTAAATCCCTTCCCACCCAGGGCTCTTTAAGGCTTAGGGAATTCTGGATGATTAAATGGTAACCTTTGGTTAGGGACTCCCGCACCCTCCATTCACGCTCCTCTTTGCTCCAGGGTCTTACTTCCTTTTCTGGCTGTCCTATTAAAGGAAGATGCAAAACACGGACTCTGTCCTTTTCTGGATAGGACATTCGTGAGAGCCTTTCACTTGGGGGAAACTTCTGGACATGTGTTGGGGTGATTTCCATAGTCCCTAGCTTTTTCCAGGGCAGTTTGGTTTTCCTCCACCACAAGTGTTCCTGTTTCCAAGTCGGGTGTGTAGCCAGTTGTAACTGGAGGACAGGTACTGAATGTCCTAGAAAGTCGGAGTCAGCCCTAGGAATCCTCACAGCTCAGCGACTTTCTAGTTAAGTCACTTTGTGTCCTTGGGTCTCAGTTTCCTCATTTTCAAAACAGGAAACAATAGCATCTGGGCTGGGTTGTGGCTCAGAGACAGAGCGCTCACCTAGCATGTGTGAGGCCCTGGGTTCGACCCTCAGCACCACATTAAAAAAAAAAAAAAAAAAAGATATTGTATCTACCTATAACTGAAAAATAAATATAAAAAAAAAATAAACAGGAACACAGTAGCATCTTACTTCTAAAGATAAAAAGAGAATGTGTGTTTTATGCAGTGTGCGATATTTACCAGGGGCCCAATCAATTATCATCATCACTTGGAGATTCATGTACCACAAATTTAGCAGAAATGTTTTAATTATCACCTACTAAAATACATATAAACAACCATACCTCACGTTAAGTTTTCCTTAAACTTCTAGTATGTGTTAAGCTGTAAACCACTGTACATTCATTTAGGTTTGTAACTTATGTCTTCTGCCACACAGAGAAGGTGTTGGGAATATCAGTAAATTAGTTGGCAAGGGAAGAGTTAATTAGCCTTTTTATTCAATAGCAGAACTCTAAACAGCTTAGATATCGTATTAATCACATTCTTATTTCCAATTCCATCCTTGGCTGTAATTCCATCTTATTTGCTTTAGACAACTTACATAAACAATATATGACACTTTCAAGCAGTGGCTCAGAAACAGGATAAGTTAGCCTTTTTGGATAAGGCTTATTGATAGCACCAATATTAAAAACGTGATCAAGCTTATTGGTTTTCTGCTTTGGATTGTCCAAACGCCCAGGTGAACACATTTATGAGCCCAGCATTTTATTCTGCTTGCATTCCTTCATGAGCTGGAAAGCACCTCTTACAAGCCGAGAACTTACCAAATAACTAATCAAGAAAATGTAATGCACAGATGTGGAAGGGTTGTATATTTGCACAGTCCCTTACAATGAAGTAAATGTCAACTAGAGGCATCAAGGAAACATCGAGCTTAGAAGAATGAAGATTTCCTCATTCATTCAACAATTTATTGAGCGGTTACATTGTGCAAGGCAGTGAGCCACATTAAATTTATGTAGATTTATGATGTAAATACACACATACCTATCTTCAGAAAATTCCAGGCACCCCTATATATATATCGTTTCTGTAATAAACTCTGTATTGCAAAAAGGCCCAATGATAATTAGTAACACCCAGCTACTCTGAGACTGCCTGTTGGGATTGCATGGTAGATGTAAGAGCATTGTCTCAGTAATAAAATATGATGTTATCAAGACATTCATGCCTCAAGGGAGAAAAATGCAATTGCTTACTGTTTTGATATTATCTCTGACTATGCTTGCTTTTAATCTGTCTTTTCTATATTTAGTAGCCAGTCATTTTAAAGTTAAAAAAAAAAAATCAAAATCTACACTGCAACCACAGACCAAACCTTGTGAATATGAATGGGCGGGGTAGGGGGGTGGCATTATTCAGCACTTAAAGGGGGTAAATCACAGTGCGTAGTTATATGAAACCCGCACATTGGAGGGCCGCTTTAAGAGTTGCGCTGGGTGGAAGGTGAATAAATCCCCATTCACCCTTCTTCTGTGGTTTCTAAACTCAATTTAAGCAAGGTCAATCACGAAAAAGGTGGAAGGCCACACAGGTCACATCTCAGGGTTTTTTCTTTCTTGTTTTTTTGTAGATATAAGAATTGAATCAAAGTATTTCACTGTGAGAAGACCTCCCTCATCAGCTGGTGGATATCAACCTCAATTTTTGGAGCTCATTACTGAACACCCACCCACGTTCCAAAATTTTTAGGAATGCCTCTGGTTCTTTGGTAAGTATACATAACCCCCTTTTTCCTCTCCAAGGACTCAGATAGTTGGAGCGAGGATGGGTCCCCTCGGATTTCGTCCACGCCCCAGCCAATCTGAGCCCGGATGCTAATTAGCTGAGCTCCCCAGATGAACACGCCTTTGTCACATGTAGGGCCGGACTACAAAGCCCAGAATGCTTCGCCCCTCCCTGATCAATGAGGGCTTATTTAAATGATCTCTGAGGTCTTGGACCCAGGCCAATCAGCTGTCAGGGCTCATGATAAATCGCAATGCATTATTGATAATAATAATTACTGGGACATGCGCGTTCTGGCCGGAGGGGGGTAAATTTCCCAACTCCAGGAATTTGTGGCGGAGAGGGCAAATAACCGCGGCTCTCCCGGCGCCCCGATGCTCGCACCATGTCGAGGCGCAAGCAGGCGAAACCCCAGCACATCAACTCGGAGGAGGACCAGGGCGAGCAGCCGCGGCAGCAGCCGACTCCAGAGTTCGCAGATGCGGCCCCAGCGGCGCCGGCGGCGGGGGAGCCGGGTGAGTGGGGCTGGAGCGCCCGCCGGGGCGCTGGAGTTTCCCGGACGTTCGCGGGACCCTCGAGGGCGCGGGCTGCGGGGCGCTGCGGCTTCTAGTGCGGATTCTGGAACCGGGTTCTGGGGACTCCCTCTAAGGGAAGGGAGGCAGCCTCATCCCCCCAACCTCCGTCTTTGCAGATTTTACACTTTTTTTCCTCTTCTTTCTTGTGTAAGTTTCACCCCCAGCTCTTGCCCCTCTTATTGTAAAGTTGACCCCCACTCTCTGCTGTCTCCCTCACTCCTAAAAGGGTCTCCTCTCCTAGTCCTCAGCTTCTTTCTTAATTGGTTCCACTCCTTTAACTAGTAACCCCCCCCCCCCCCGCGGTAACTTCGGTTCCCCCTCCCTCTCTGGCGCCGGTTTTAAAAGAAAGAGACCCCAAGGCTCTCCTCCCCGTCCACCACCCCTGGGGGGCTTTTGTAGGAGGGTGGAGGAGGGGCGCACCCCTGGAAGACCCCCCGGAGGAGGGCGATCTGTTGCACGCGCCCCTCCCAGGCCAAGTGGGGGAGGGGGCGCGACCTCTGCCCACCCGCAGGGGTTGGGGTGCTGGCCACCCGCGCTGAGGAGGGGGCTGGAGCGCCCCGAGAGTTGGTGGAGAAGAAAACTCTATTTCTCCTTTCACGTTTTTTTTTCTTTTTTTCTGTTGGTTTTCGCCTTTTCCCCGAGGCTACGCCGCCTGCCGATCTTCGCCCTAACCTTTCGGGGCCTGACCTCCAGCCATCTTTGATTTCCGACTTCCTAAAAATAACCGCGGTAACCAGAGGGGTGCTGGCCCCAGGGGACCCGGGCAGCCGGCGCACAGCCACCCCGCCGTGGTGCACCCGCCGGGCTCCTTGCACGTTTTTTCTGGGGAGCTGGGCGAGGTGAAAGGGGCGAGGTCGGGCCAGGGCGAGTTCCTGGGGCTGCTGACCCGGCCCACGTTTCCGCGGCCAGCGCCTCCGGGTCGAGAGGCGTTCGGGACACCAGTGTAGCCGGGATTCTGGGGCAAACTCCCATTCTCCCCGGCCGCTTAGCCGAGGAGGTTTAGGAGCGAGTCGATTTCCCACTATCTCCTCTCCGTCGCGGCCCGCCAAATTGTCGCCTGATAAATTTTGAGCCGTATGCGTGGGGGGAGGGGGCATTTTTTAACCTCCTCTCGGAGCCTGCCTTCTAATTTCCCAGTTGATGGGCTGTGCGTGGCAGCCCCGGACACCAAGAAGCCAGTTCCGACACTGGTTTTGGGGAGAAGACGGTTGCTACTTCTTGGTTCCCGTACTCTCCTTTGGTCGGGGAAGGAATGCAATTTTCCAAATATATACTAGTTAAAATTAAGTCACCGCGTCCCACCACCCCCTAAACAAAATTTCCAGGGCAAATGAAAAATACTGGCTTGCCCGAGGGGGTGGGCGTGGGATTTCGGGGCTTCTGATGGTCAGAGCAGGGCACACTCGAGGGCGCAGGAGCCGGAGTGGACTCCCTTTGTGCCTCGGCTGGGAGGTGGGGGGAGCGTGGAGAGGCTTCGTGGCCTGGCCCACCTGGAACAAAAGGGTTAACCCTCCGCCTGCCCGCCCGCCCGCCCGCTTCCTCCCGAGAGGAGGGGCGAGCTCCTGGCGCTGACCCCTCCCCTGGTCCTGCTTTGACCTCCTCTTCCCTCTTCATTTTGGGTGGGCGCACACAAGTGGGGCTTTGCACCTTTTAGGGAAAGCTTGTTACCGGAGGGCTTCCGAAATTTACGTTGGCCGGAGCGTAAGTTAGCTGAGCTCGGTCCGAATCTCCGGCCTGGCTGTGCGCTCCCACTGCGATTTGGGAGGGAGTTCACTATTGATCCGCAGGGTTTGTGCAAACCAGCCTGGCCGAGTTGCGCGCGGTCGCCCCCTGGAGGCGAGTTCTGAAGCCAAGCCCTCTGTTGGGAGGCGGGTCCCAGCACCGCCGCTGGCTCACACCTGGTGAGTGGGGCCGGCTGAGGAGGGTGTTGTGCGGAGTGCTAGGTTAGGCCCAGGACGGACACCCCTGGGGATTTCTGCCAGTGACTCCAGCCAGTGCCGTCTGTGCCCATTATTCATCGCCAAGGTTTTGGAATTCTTGGAAAGAATTCCTTGATCCTAGAATGTATTTGCAGAGCCCTCAGTTGCCGCTTTGGGACAGTATAGTTTCCCCAAGTAGGACTTTTTTTTTTTTTAATGGCTACATTTTGGATGTTTGCATTTGACGAACCTCATAAATAAATGATAGGTATGATTTTTAAAAATTGGACTGGCTTTATTTTGCCACGCTCTTTGAGAATGCAGTTGGGGTGGGGTAATAATTAGCAGGTCAAAAAATCTGCAGGTGGTCGGGAAGGGAGCTAACACTGCTTAGGGAAAATTAGCATTTTCTCAAAAGGGTTTCAAATGCCCTTTGTGCTAAACTGGATTACAACCATCAACGATTAAGATTCCCAAGTTTCAAGTAACTTCCTAAAATGACCTACACTGGCTTTAGTGAGGTTTCAGGCCAATTCATCTGAGTCCCCCCCCCCCAAAAGAAGAGGGGACTGCAATTTGCCCACAACCCCTTTTTATTCATTAAAAATAAATTGCATCGTTAAATCCGTTCTTCAACTGTAAGAACCGGGCCCCCTACACTCCTGGGCTCAAGTCAGTTACACTTGTGTGGCTCCTGCAGTTAGTGAGTTTTCCTGTAGGTAGGGGCTGGGAACCATTTTGGGAGGCTGGAGACGGTTATCTTTTCCTCTTTTGAAATGTGAAGTGTTGGTGGGTGCTTAGGGAACTCGTTGGTGGTGTTTTTTCAAGGCATTAGAGCAGGGGTTGTGTTCCTGTCTGGTTGCATGAGCTTCAACAGTGTGAACAGGAGGCTAACTTCATTTTTTTTTTCCCCCTGAGTTTTTGGGTTCCTTATTACAACGGTGATAAGATGATAGTTAGATTATTTGAGTTGTAGAAGTGTGTTAAGAATGTGATCAATAATTTTGTTAGAAAGAAAATGTTTTTACTTTTACTATTGTGTCAGGATGGTGTGGTGCTGCTCACTGAAATAATTCTGCAGAGAAAATAGCCTACTCTGTGGTCGACCCAGTCTGGACCTCAGGTACATGATCTTTAGTTCTCACAACCAATTGTGGCTTCAGGTTGGGATGACTTTGCCCACGGTGCCTGGCCTGCTTGGTTGTTTTCAGCCTTGCCCTAAATCCAAGGGGTTGCGTTTGTGGTGGTCTTTGAGCAGTTGGTGGTGGCATGGGGTTATCTTCCTTCTTTCCCAGATGAAAAAGACCTGTCTAGTGTTTGAAGCTGGTTGGGTTTGGTAATCACCCTTTCAGTTTTTCAAATATGCCCTTCTAGGCTTTAGATGAAGAGGTTCTAGGGAAGCAAGTTGGAAATGATGTTGGCACTTGGTTTCTTTGGGCCTTACTGCCCTGGAAAAAGTGATAGGGAACTAATTTCTTGAATTCTTTCCCCTTTCATAGCGCTTTTAGCCTACTGTATTTTGGATTATTTAAAAATAAAAATTCTAGACATGTTTAAAGGCCTCTAAATCCAGACAAGAACTGCATCACTAGTCACTGCCATTAAAAAAAAAAAAAAATTTTTTTTTTCACACTCTGGTCAGGCTTTGTTCGGGAGGGATCCTCAGGAGGGAACAAAGCCCCTTGCCCTCTGGAGTCTGCAAATTTCAAAATGGGGCACATCTCTAACCCCGATGGCCAGATAGATCACACACCTTAGCAGTCTTTTTTGATCTTCTTACTCTTCCTTTTTCACAGAGCCTCCCTGGACGTTGATCCAAGGCTCCTTGAAACTTTTTAAAAATTTTAATTAAGTAGAAATTTAATTTGGGGTCTAATTTGCCATCTACACATTTTTAAAATTAAACTGGTTAACAGGGCCCTTGCCACTGGCTCAACAACACTTGGGGACCTAATTTCCTTTTGTTTTTTTGGTAGGCCCTTATCTGGGTGGTGGGGGAGGGTAGGAGATGTTGTGTGCCTTAGATAATCTGCTCATAGTCATTCTTCTAATATAGGAATGAGAAAGCAGATAAGCCCGAGTCATAATGCTTCCCTCAAGATACACAGGTTTTAATTTTTAAGCGTTTTAGCGTCTCCAGAATTTGATTGGCCTCTAGCAGATTAACTTTCTTCCTGCACAATACCAGGAGTATTCTCTATCCATTTGGCTGTGATTGAATCTAAGACCCCTGCTGGGTTTACTGCATTCTTCCAACTTATTGGATAACTAGATGCTGAGAGATAACATTCCTAAAATTCGGGGTGGGGGTGGGGCCCAGGGATGGAAGAAGGAGTTGTTGTGTAATCCCTCTGAACTTTGCTTTTTTCTTTTCGGGTTAACTTAAGCATACCCAGCCATTGTTCCTCACGGAGTCCTCTTACTCCTTGGCAAATACGCCCTCAGGATGTGCCAGGGGTGGTGGGGATGCACTAGTACTTTTTACTGCACAGGCAAACAGAGCTGCTGCTGTTTTAAGACTCAAGCGGGATGTTGCCGGTGCAGCTTCCAGGCTTGTGTATACAGTGAAGGCAGCTGGTTTTCGGGCTGTAAATCACTCTGGGAACCAGTAGATCCTTCCAGCAGAGGAGCTTAACCTTTTTTATGCCGTCGACATGTTGAAGATCCACGGGATGCCAAGGGAACAGAAGTGCTGTTCCCCAAAATGAGACCTTCGTGATGTGCGCCTGGCCCTCCGTGTCTGCGGGCTCTGCATCTGCAGATTCAACCAAGCACATGTCAAAAAATGTTTGGGGAAGGGCTGGGACTGTGGCTCAGCAGTAGTGCACTTGCCTTGCATGTGTGAGGCACTGGGTTCGATTCTCAGCACCACATATAAATAAATAAAATATCAACAACTAGGGGGGAAAATGTTTGGGGGAAACCTTGCATCTGTACCCGCATGCACAGGCTTTTGTCTCTTGCCCTGGCTCCCTAAGCCACACACTTTAGAACAAGACTTCCCCTACATTTACATTGTATTAGGGGTATTATGAGTCACCTGGGGAGGATTCAAAGTATGCAGAGGGATGTCCACATTATATGCAAATGCTGCGCCATTTTGTATCAGGGACTTTAGCAGGCATGGATTTGGGTATCCCAGAACTGGGTCCTGGTCCTCCTGCTTGTACCCACGGGCCTATATTAATTAATATAATATATAACAATTCCTAATACAATAAGTAACAAGATCAGCATCCTGTCAGGTAACCACCAAATTGTCAAGTCATTGCACCAACTGTAGGCCATGTGAAAATGTGTTTGTTTGTGACAGTGTCACAGGCTCTGCTGATACCACTGTCACTTATTCCTCACATGCCAAATTAAAAGAAATGCCCATTTTCAGTTCTTACGAAAGTATTTTTTTCCTAATTTCATGAACCCCTGCTTAAGAATGTCTGCTTTAGAAGCTAGGGCTGTGGCTCAGCGGTAGAGAGCTCACCTGGCATGTGTGAGGCACTGGGTTCAGTTCTCAGCAGCAAGTAAAAATTAATTATTGTGCCCATCTAAAACTAAAAAAATTAAAAGACTGCTTTTAGGAGCTGGGGTTTGTGTAGTTCATTGATAGATCGCATCTTTAGCATATACAGGGCTCTGGGTTCAATCCCCAGCACTCTGCCCAACAACAAAAATTCCTGCTTTAGAATGTACCTTCAGTGAGAGAATATTGCCCCTAAAAACGATTAACATCTACCAGGGAGAGGGACAGAAACATTTATTGATATGATACTGGTTTGTGATGCTCCAAAGAAACCACAGTGTGATATACTTATGATACATTATAGCAGGACATGGTGGGTCAGCAATTTACAGAGACCTGTCTAGAAATAAGGGGCTGGGTATGTGGCTCTTTGGTAGAGCACCCCTAGGTTCAATCCCAGTACCATGCGGGGGTGGGGGGGGGTGGACTAGGTCCCTTGTCTTATTGTCCTCCTTAACTAGTATCTAAGAACTCAGTACTTATTTATTTTTAGTTTAGCTGTATGTCACCTTGAGCCACTTAATTATTTCTGAGCCTCGGTTTTCACATGTACAAAGCAGCAGAAAGATGCTGGTTTGGTTAAGTGGATTTGAAGATAAATGAGTTCAGGCACAGGCCTTTGACGAGTATGGGTGGTGGGTAGAGGTTTGCCTGGGCCTAAGGAGCAGCGTGGAGAGCTTGACATTTTTGCGGGAACTTTTGGGTCTTCAGAAGCAGGAGAGAGACACAAGGGTGACGAGAGGAGTTAGCTTGACCCAGGAGTTTTAGATGTTTAATGTCAGTTTAAAAGAAGCCGTAGGACAAAGGTGGGTACAGTTTACAGTTTTCTGTTCCACCTGAGTTCCCAGGTGCATTCTCCAGGAGGTGGATACCAGCAACTGTTTCTCTTGTATCATTTTCTGTTTCCATGTACATATTTATGTCTTTATCTGTGAGCCCAAATGGGAGCACATTATATACACATCCTGTTCTCTTCCCTTTTTTTCCCTCTTATGAAGTAACTCCTGGGCGGTTGTTCTGTGGAGGAGCACACTAACACAGTCTACTTGTCTTGGTAGGATACAATGTTCATCTTTTGTGCACTCTAATTTATTTAACCAGAAACTTCCTGATGGACAGTGTGTGTCCATTTGTGTACTTGTTTGTTAATATGAGAAATGCTGCAAGAAATACCTTGCAATACAGGAAGTAGATTCCTAACAAAGGAATTGCTGAGTCAAGGAGAATTAAACTAAAATTAAGATGTTGCCAGATGACTCCCTGAAGAAGCTATATCCATTTATGTTCCCTACCTGTGGGTGTATTTCCCCCAGAGAAAGTTTTTGACACATAATTACAAAATTGCTTTTCCAGAAAGATTGTGCCAGTTAACACCACCCCCATTACCTACCCATACGCACTGCATTTGAGCACATGAATTGCATTAACAGATACCATTGATCTGGGAATTGATGAGATTTTTTTTTTCGTCATCTTTGTTTTTTAACTTGACTCTTAACCTAGGACTGAGTCAGAGTGCTATGGAGGCCTTAGGTCTTTGTGCTCTGCCTCCCCTATGCAACTGTCTCTGGAAGTAGCCTTGTGGCATCATATCCCTTCTGGGGCTGAGGATGTAACTTAGTGGTAGGGCACTTGCCTAGCATGCATGAGGCCTGCGTTTAATACCCAGTACTGCAAAAAAAAAAAAAAAAAGAAGGATGTGGAGGGAGGAATAGTGGTGGCACATGGCTAATCCCAGTGACTCAGGAGGCTGAGGCTGGAGGATTGCAAATTTGAAGTAAGTCTGGGAGAATTAGCAAGGCTCTGTCTTCGTATGAAAAATAAGCATCCCTGGTTCATCCCAGTGCCATAAAGAAGGAATGTGTGTGGTTTTTCTTGTGTGTGTTTTACATGTGTTTGTGTGTTGAAAAGAGGGATACTTTTGGAATCTCAAAAATATCCCTGAGAAAAAATAGCTGCAATGTAAAGACATGAAAGGAAACATACAAATGGTGGGTCCATCCTTGCCCCCACAGCCCTGCTTCCTCTGCACACAGTAGGTGGTGAGCATGGTTGGTGAGGTAGGCACTGGATGACTTTGGAAGTCTTCTTTTTACTCAGTCTGAAATTGGTAAAAATGAAGTCAGTTTATTAAGGTTGTTCTTCAAGATCCATCCTTCCTCCAAACTATTGGAAGCTTTTCAGTCAAAATCCATGGTTTACTAACATAAAAAGCAATTGTTTATTTATTTGAAAGTGGTGTGCAACCTTGCCTTGGCTCCATCTACATGGAAAAGTCACACATAGGCTTCATTTTAAACAAAAGAAGTCCTGCTACTTCCTGCTTCTGGGGCTTACATCACCTGACTTGTGCAGCATGCAGAACTTACACTCTTTTTTTTGCACTGTGGGTGAACCAGGATTTCCTTTGTCACCACTGTAAACAGTTTTGCCTTTACAAACAAACAAACATGTGCACACTTGATAACATGGATCTTTGTGCTTGTGCAAATGTGTGTATGGCTCAGGTTCTCAAGCCCAGAGGTGCTAGGTCTAAGATGTGCCTTTTGTCCTGAGACTCCAAGCTCCAGTGCCTTCTTTGGGGAGGGCCTAGCCTACCTGATAGGGTGGCAGGAGGCTGGACAGAGACTCCCCACCAGGCTTCAGATTCCTAGGACCCAAGCCTCTGGGTACAGCACAGTCCTCAAAAGGGAATCAGAATGTGTACGCTAATACTAACCCTAATCTGGATAGGATCCACTTGCCCAAAAAATCTACGGGTCAGTCATTTTTAAGAAGATAAGACTCAAAATAGGACTTAGCTTTTGTACACAGATGTTCCTTGACTTATAGTGGGATTACATCCCGATAAACCCAGAGTAAGTTGAAGTTATCGTGAGCAGAGAATGCAGTTAATATACCCAACTGACTGAGCACCCCCACCTAACCACGCTGTGGTGCTGAAGATCTCACTTGCTGCTGGTGATTCTGTGGATTTCCAGCATCACAAGAGAGGATTCCCAAGCAAAGGTCAAAATGCAGAATTCCAAGTACTGAGCCTGTGTTGCTGTCACACTGTCATAAGTTGAAAAAAACAGCTGAAGGATCCTAGATCAGGGATCGTGTATTTCATTTCAGAAAAATAGAATTATAGCAGAAGTTGTTAGTATGTGTGTGTGGTGGGGGGTCCACCATTTCTTTCCCCTACTTCCATACTTCTCACTTTCTATAATGGCTTCTTTTTCCTCTTAAAATCCTAAATGTTAAGACACTGCAACGGGTTTGTCGTAATCCGAAAAGTCAATGAAGTCTTTCTACGTTTGTGTCTTGCTTGGGCATTGCAGTCTTTTTCCGTGTGTTTCCCACATATGAAGCTGTTCTGGGAACATTCTTCTTGTCCTTCCTATCTCAATTCACCCAAGTTTCTGTGCTCTGTATTTCAAATGAATTTAGTGTTACCATCTGAATTATTGGCACCTTTAAGCTTTTGCTGCCCCTGGAAAGCGGGTGCCGGGTGCGTTGGTTGAATGAGTCATTGACTGCCTTTCACTTACTATGGGCTGAAGAAGGAGGTCAGCAGCCATGATCTGAGCAGGTTTAATGTCCTTCTCTTAGACAGCATAACCCATCTGTTTGCCTCTGTAAGCTGACTCTGAGAGAGGTGCAGGGGTTGGGATGGGATTGTTTTGATAAGTTATATTCCTTTCCTAGGGTTGCCATTAACCGTCTTAGACTGGATGACTTAAATGAACTGAAATTTATTCTCTCACAGGTATGGAGGCCAGGCCGGTCCAAATGTAGGTGATAGCAGGTTTGGTTCCTTCTAGAGGCTCTGAGGGAGACATCTGGTACATCTCAAATCTCTCTTTCTCAAATAACAATACCAGCCTTGGATAAACCTAGGCCCAGTCTAGTTACATTTGCAAAGACCTTATCTGATCAGGTCACATGCACAGGTTCGTGGTGGGGGGATGTGCCACGTGGGGAAGTAGGACCATCTTTTTTTTTTTTTTTTTTAATTCGTCCCCCTGGTGCTGAGTTTGGAACCCAAGGCCTCACATGGGCCAGGCGCACGCTCTACCACTGAGCTGGCGCTGGCCATATCTTTTGGGGGAGCATAATTCAGCCCACAGCTTTGTTCATTCCGACCTTTTGGGTGCCTCTGTCTCCGAGGCCAGCCTTCTCCCGTGGGAACACCCGAGGAGTGCCTGTCATTGAAGTCTGGTTCTTTCCTAGGTGTCATGTGTCCTTTCCTTGGGTTGAGTTCTTAGCTTTTTTCTGTCTTGTGACAGGTGCTTCAATGAACCACACGGGCAGTGGCGATGAAGCAGGTGGGGACAAAGCCACTGCGAAGCGGCTCCGCCAGGAGGACACTCATATCTGTGAGAAATGCTGTGCCGAGTTCTTCAGCCTCTCGGAGTTCTTGGAACATAAGAAAAATTGCACTAAGATTTCACCTGTCCTCATCATGAACGACAGCGAGGGACCAGTGCCTTCAGAGGACTTCTCCAGAGCCGTGCTGAACCACCCGCCGCTCAGCCCAAGCAGTAAGGATGGTCACCAGGGGAGCAGCGGCAGCGCCAAGGAGAAGCCGGGCGCCGAGCCCGTCATGTACTTGAAGGCAGAGGCCACCCTGCCGCCCTCGCCCCAGGACATAAGCTATTTACCCAAAGGCAAAGTGGCCAACACTAACGTGACTCTGCAGGCACTCCGGGGCACCAAGGTGGCGGTGAACCAGCGCAGCGCCGATGCGCCGGCCGCCCCGGTGCCCAGCGCCCACGGCATCCCGTGGGTCCTGGAGCAGATCCTGTGCCTGCAGCAGCAGCAGCTCCAGCAGCTGCAGCTCACCGAGCAGATCCGCGTGCAGGTGAACATGTGGGCGGCGCACGCCCTGCACTCGGGCGGGACCGACGCCCTGAAGACCCTGGGCAGCCACGTGTCCCAGCAGGTGTCCGCCACCGTGGCGCTGCTCAGCCAGAAGGCCGGAAGCCAAGGCCTGTCTCTGGATGCCTTGAAACAAGCCAAGCTACCTCATGCCAACATCCCTTCCACCGCTGGCTCGCTGTCCCCAGGGCTGACCCCCTTTGCCCTGAAGCCAGACGGGTCGCGGGTGCTCCCGAATGTCGTGTCTCGGCTCCCGAGCGCTTTGCTACCTCAGGCCCCAGGTTCTGTGCTCTTCCAGAGCCCTTTCTCCGCCATGGCGCTAGACCCATCCAAGAAAGGGAAAGGGAAGCCACCGAACATCTCCGCTGTGGATGTCAAACCCAAAGACGAGGCGGCCCTCTTCAAGCACAAGTGTAAGTACTGTAGCAAGGTTTTTGGGACTGATAGCTCCTTGCAGATCCACCTCCGCTCCCATACTGGAGAGAGACCCTTCGTGTGCTCTGTCTGTGGTCACCGCTTCACCACCAAGGGCAACCTCAAGGTACACTTTCACCGACACCCCCAGGTGAAGGCGAACCCCCAGCTGTTTGCCGAGTTCCAGGACAAAATGGCAGCAGGCAATGGCATCCCCTATGCACTCTCTGTCCCCGTCCCTGTAGATGAATCGAGTCTCTCTTTAGACAGCAAACCTGTCCTTGTAACAGGGACCCCTTGCTTAGGGCTACCTCAAAATCTCTCTCCGGGGACTAACCCCAAGGACCTCCGGGGTGGCCTGCTGCCCGGCGACCTGCAGCCTGGGCCTTCTCTGGAAAGTGAGGGTGGACCCCCACTATCTGGGGTGGGACCCAACCATAATTCCCCAAGGGTTGGTGGCTTCCAGGGGAGTGGGACCTCCGAGCCAGGGTCAGAGACCCTGAAGTTACAGCAGCTGGTGGAAAACATTGACAAGGCCACCACGGACCCCAACGAATGTCTCATCTGCCACCGAGTCCTAAGCTGCCAGAGCTCTCTCAAGATGCATTACCGCACCCACACCGGGGAGAGGCCTTTCCAGTGCAAGGTCTGTGGCCGAGCTTTTTCTACCAAAGGCAACTTGAAGACGCATCTTGGGGTTCACCGAGCCAACACATCTGTAAAGACCCAGCATTCGTGCCCCATCTGCCAGAAGAAGTTTACCAACGCGGTCATGTTGCAGCAGCACATCCGGATGCACATGGGTGGCCAGATTCCCAACACGCCTCTGCCAGACAGCCCCTGTGACTTTACGGGTTCCGAGCCCATGATGGTCGGGGAGAGTGGCAGCACAGGTGCCTCCTGCCCCGAGGAGGTGGAGAGCATTGATGTAGATGAAGTAACGTCCCAGGATGCCCCCGCTGGCTCCTCAAAGGTCCCTGCACCTCTTCCCAGCACCCACGTGGCATCACCCACCCTGGGGTTCCCTGCGATGGCTTCCCTAGATGCCCCAGTGAAGGTGGGTCCTGCCCCTGGGGGCCTGCAGCGCCAGAGCAGCCGAGAAAATGGCTCAGTGGAGAGCGACGGCCTGACCAACGACTCGTCCTCGCTCGTGGGCGACCAGGAGTATCAGAGCCGAAGCCCAGATGCCATGGAAACCATGTCCTTCCAGGCCGTGTCCCCGGCCAATAGCCAAGCAGAAAGCATCAAGTCCAGGTCTCCCGATGCTGGGGGCAAAGCTGAGACCTCCGAGAACAGCCGCCCCGAGATGGAAGGTGATAGAGCTTTGGATTTCACTTATGTCCCTTGTGGGCTCAAGGTCATCAAAAAGGAACCTGGGTTGAACTTTTGCAAACGGAGTATGATGTGAAGCAGCTCCTCTGTAGGCAATTAGCTTTCCTGTACTTCTGGGTAGAGGGACATAATAACCACCTCTGTCCTAGCCGTGAACAGGCTTTTTACTTATAGTGGTTAATGCAAATTGGGTATGGACAAGCATCATTATTGTTGGTTTTTATTTTTGTTTTTGACCCCATGGGGATCTAGGGGTAATCTTAAGCAAATCCCAGTAGCAGTGGGCAAAACTGCTTTTTGGCCACTGAAATGAACTATAGTTTCTTGATTCTGAGGTCTTGCTCCCTAATGGAATGTTCACAAGTCATTTATGAAGGGGGGGAGTAATATCTTAAGTGTACAAATCAATTTGGGGCACGTATTGATGTCATTAATAGTAAGATAGGGTAACAGGTGCATCATAGAATCAGATAGATAGGTCCTGGGCAGGTTTTAAAGGTAACTCTTGATGCAGAAACTTGAACTTGAGTTACGTGTATTCCCATGTTGCCCATTCTTTGATGCAAAACCGAAAGGGTCTGTTTTCCAGTCTCTATTCTTTGTGCAGATGAACAATCCAAAGGCAAGCTGCTGGTGAGGTGTCATTTCCTGTAAGCCATCTCCTCTGGTTTAGTGGGCAGTTGTTTTCAAAGCTGTCTTGTTTCTAAGGATGAGTGGGTGTTGGATGATAAAGGTTTGGATTTTCTTCCCCTCACATACTAGGTCGTAGCAGTCTCCCATCAACGTTTATTCGAGCACAACCCACCTATGTCAAAGTTGAAGTTCCCGGCACATTTGTAGGACCCTCCACCATGTCCCCAGGCATGACACCTTTGTTAGCGGCCCAGCCACGCCGACAGGCCAAGCAACATGGCTGCACACGGTGTGGGAAGAACTTCTCATCCGCCAGTGCCCTTCAGATTCACGAACGCACACACACTGGAGAGAAGCCTTTCGTGTGCAACATATGTGGGCGAGCGTTCACCACCAAAGGCAACCTGAAGGTGGGTTTCGCTGTGCTTCCTGGCAGGGTGATTTATCGGTGTGTTTCGTGATAAATTCCACTTAAGGAATTTTGCGTGTGTGTGTGTGTGGTACTGGGGATGGAATACAGGGCCTTACACATGCTAGACAAATGCTCTACCACTGAGCTACATCCCCAGCCCAATAAATTCCATTTAAGACAAGGGAGGTGCTAGGGGTGTAGCTCAGTGGTAGAGCACTTGGCTTAGCATGTGTAAGGCCCTAGGTTCCATCCCTAGTACTGCAAAAAAAAAAGAGGCAAGGGATATATAATCACATCTCATAAGTGTTGGCTCTTGAAATATCTTTTTTTGGTACCAGGGATTGAACTCAGGTACTTGACCCCTGTGCCACATCCCCATCCCTATTTTGTATTTTATTATTAGAGACAGGTCTCACTGAGTTGCTTAGCCCCTTACTTTTGCTAAGGCTGGCTTTGAACTCGTGATTCTCCTGTCAGTCTCCCAAGCCTCTGGGATTAGAGGTATGTGCCACTGTGCCTGGCTCTAATTTTCTTTTAATAGTTAAGGGCTGGGCTGTAGCTCAGTGGTACAGCACTTGATGGGACATCGAGCATGCATGAGGCTCTGGGTTTGATCCCCAGCGCAGCCAAAAAAAAAAGCTAAGTAGATCCATAGAATAAGTCTGGAAACAGAAGATCTTTGTTATTAGTTGTGAGCTAATATTGATCATTTATGCATTGGTTTAACCTTCCAGGCTTGACAACCACTGAATTTCTGTTTCCTGGCCTGCTAAGTTGAGTTAAATACCATGATTAAATATGATTATTATATAAATGCATGTCCGGAAGCACTGGAGTTTAAAACAAACAGTAGCCTCCAAGTTAATAGCCGTGCAGCTGAGTCCTTCCAGAGAGTGGTCTGTGCTATTACTGCTGTAGGAGGAGCTGCCCCCGTGAAGGGTGAAAGTGTCCTGCAGATGGGAAGAGGGCTCTGGGGTTTTCCACCTGGCCCCACCTCTGGTTTGCTGTATAGCTCTGAGCAATGTGCATCCCCCTGGATCTTTCATCAGTGCGTAAGCCCCTGGCTTGTTTGGGCAGGTGGCTTGCTGTGACTCGGTCTCCCTGGCTGCCCTGGATGGTGGTAATGATGAACTCCAGGGTTATTCTGGAGCAAGACCAAGTGCTCTTAAGTAGAACCTTCGCAGTCACTGCTAGCAACAGCAGTGAGCAGCGCTAGTGATGCACAAGCAGCCTCTTCTGTTCCGCCCCCACCCCGTGGGGTGGCCACTGGTCTCCAGGGTGTCAGTAAAGATGCATTGAGTGCCTGAGAAACCTGATACCTCACGCAAGGGTTTTTAAAACTTTTAAAGAAGCTAAAAAAATATTCGAAAACTTGAAGGGCAGGCAGGAGAAATAATTATGGAAAGCATCCAGGGGACAGGTAGTAGGGTCTTTCCTTAGGAAGACCTACATTGAATAGCATCTCCTTCTCATCATGGCCTTCTGTGGCTTTCCCAACCAGATTTCAGTTTTGTTTTTTCCCAGTGCTGGGGATAGAACCCAAGGCCTTGGTTTTTGTTGTTATTGTTTTTTAATGGTACCAGGAATTGAATCCAGGGGCACTTAACCGCTGAGCCACATCTTTAGCACTTTTTGAGACAGGGTCTCGCTGTGTTGCTGAGGGGCTTGCTAAATTGCTGAGGCTGGCCTTGAACTTGTGATCCTTTTGCCTCAGCCTCCCAACTCCCAAGCCACTGGGATTACAAGCGGAATAGGACAAATATTGACCTTGACATTTGGAACGGTGCCTGGCATGTAGCAGGTGTTTGCATAAGTACACACACAGAGACAAGAGTCTAGGCACTGCCTTGGTCTCTCTAGGCAGGAGTGCTGGCCAGATACTGCCAGATCTCTGCTTCCCCCTTACCCAGTATTTGAATTTTTATTTTTTTTATATAATCTACTTCCTGAATAAAAAAAAAGTATATTGAGAGACACTCGTTGGGTAGAACCAAAGCCACATGCAGGCTGGTTTGGTCTTGCTGGGGAGCAGTAGAATATTTGCTAAGAAACTCTGTCCTGTCCGCAGGTCCACTACATGACACATGGGGCAAACAATAACTCAGCTCGCCGCGGGAGGAAGCTGGCCATCGAGAACACCATGGCCCTGTTGGGTACGGATGGAAAGAGAGTCTCCGAAATATTTCCTAAAGAGATCCTGGCACCCTCGGTACGTGTGGACCCTGTCCCTGTCGTGTGGAACCAGTACACCAGTGTGCTCAATGGTGGCCTGGCCGTGAAGAACAACGAGATCTCCGTGATCCAGAGTGGCGGCATTCCCACCCTACCGGTTTCCCTGGGGGCCAGCTCTGTGGCCAGCAGTGCCACGGTCTCCAAGATGGACTCCCAGTCTGGGGGCAGTGCCGAGGTGGAGAAGCCGGGTGTTGCCGACAGCGTTGCCAAACACCAGTTCCCTCACTTCCTGGAGGAAAACAAGATCGCAGTCAGCTGAGCCCAGGAGAACCTGCCAGCCAGGAGAAGTGCAGATCTGGTGTAATGGATGGACTGGTTTTTGGTTTTCTTCAAGAACCCATCTCCTCTTTTCTTTATTCTTACTGATATGCAAATGATGTTTACGGTTGTGACCTCAACCTTGGGCAGTCCTACAATCACGATTGTTGCTATGCTGCTTTGCAAAAAAAGGAAAAATTGAAAAGCAAAAATAGGCATACCAAAACAGACTAGAACCTTTTTATTTTTATTTTTATTTTCTTTTGGAAAGAAGCGGGTCTTGCAAAGTAGCTTTGTTACTTGCGACAAACTGTATGTATACATAGAAGCTTTGTACAACCTAGAGTGACTTCCAAAGACTGTTGCCTCTTTCAGGGTGAAACAGTTGGAAATTACTGAGCACCCTGGTGGAAAAGACAACTACTTAGCCTAATTGGGTGGGTGGGGGGTACACTCTACCTCCAGGGCAACCAAATGTGCATAAGTAAGTGGATGGACACCTTCTGCCCTCTACTTAGGGGCCTGTTTTACATGACCTTCAATCCTGTGCCCATCTTTTTTTTTTTTTTTTTTTTAATTTTTTTAAATAAATTTAAAAAAAAAACAAAACAAAACAAAAAAAACCCCTAAGGTTGTAGAATGAACAAAATTCCTTCAACCTTAGAATCTTAAGTAGGATGCCCTTTCCTGGACTTATTTTAGTCCTTAGGGAGCCAATGTGTGTTGCTGCTTATTTAAAGACAGTTCATCTGAAGCCCCAAGAGTGCCAGCTACTCCCCACATGTCCAGATGCCTTGTCTTCCCAGATACCAGAAGAGTGGGGGTTCTCAGGTGACGTGATGTAGTTTGCCAGTGCCTACTCTATTGAAGAACTACATTCTCATTCTCAAGAAGAAGCTCATGGAAGGGCGTACTTCTATCACAGGTTCACATTTTCTTCTTCTTCTTTTTTTTTCAATTTCCCCAGTGCAACTTACAACAAGTAATAATGAAGATTTTTATTTTTCCTTGAGTTGCATGAAGGCTACGAAGTTGAAACAGGCGAGTCCTGGGTGTGAAAGCTTTAATTTATCTACCTCATTTATTTTTTTATGTTAGTAGCCATAGTCTTTATTTTCCTATTTTATGACCGCTGAAGTATTCCCAGGCCCTGTCTTAGACCTAAGAGTTGACGTATTGGTGGGAACAGCCAGACATTCACGATGTCTTTGTGATTCCTTTTTCAAATCCCCTTTCGTGCATGTGATAATGTAGAGCAGATGCCGAGACACTGCTCTAATGGTTGAATGAGGAAGGAGAAAGAAGGACCCGGCATTGGGGCCGAGGATTCTTTCCCTCTGTTCGGATGGCCCTTGTTGAAACGTGGATCAAGACTGTTACCCAAAGTTTTGTCTTAGTTATTGCACCTGGCTTTAGGATCCAAAAAAGAAAAAGAAAAAAAATATATGTTTTTGCCAAGTTGTGCCTTTCCTTCTGGAATTGTAAGTGAACACAGTCATAGCGCCTGTTTACACTGTGACGCGGATATTGTTACGGAGAACACCCCAGTGGCTCTCACTGCTGAGCTCACAGTGCCTAGTGAATGTGTGACCAATGGAGAAACCCCTGTAGGACCTGCTGATGCTGTTTGTCTGTTGCAAAATAAACTTTGAATGTTTTTTTTCCACTTACCAGGTGTGTATGTTTTCTGATAGTTTCAGTTCCGAACCTGAGAACTTGACCATCATTTTCAGTTGTCTTGTGACCTTCTGTTTCCTAAAGATACACAGCTGGTTACATCCACACTGGACCTGCTTCCCGGGCATACATGAGACCTTTCTACCTGCGGTTTTTAACCTCACCGCCACTACTTCTTCTTTATCTTCTTTTTTTGGTACTGGGGGTGTACTGTGCACTTAATTTAGGTCTTCCGTTAAGTGTTCTTGCCGTAATTAAACTATATTAAAAGGGAATGGAATCGGGTGTGGTGGTGCACATCTATAATCCCAGCACTTCTGGAGGATGGCACAGGAGTTCAAGGCCAGCCTCAGCAAATTATTTATTTTTTAGTTATAGGTGGACGCAATGCCTTTATTTTATTTATTTATTTTTATGTGGTGCTGAGGATCAAACCCAGGGCCTTCACATGTTAGGTGAGCGCTCTACCACTGATCCACAACCCCAATTCCAGCAATTTAGCTCAGCAACTTAGTGATACTCTTATCTCAATAAATTAAAAGGGTGGGTAATGTGGCTCAGAGGTAAAGCACCCCTAGGTTCAATCCCAGTACAAAAAAAAAAAAAGATTGTGCTGAGAGTCACACAGGAGGGAGTATTTAGTGCAAGGGAAGGTTCTCAGGGTGGTGGAGAACCCATTTTCCCAGCCATGTTTTCAGATGTCTTCCCAAAATCCAACCCATTTCTGGCTAATTCTTTTAAAATATCTGAAATCCCTACTTGCTCTGGGCAGAATAGCTTGCTTCCTGGGATCTCAGGTTACCTTGCATGCAAAGCAGATCTAACACTGGGTGCATGGAGTTAGAGTGAGATGGTGTAAGAACTGTTTAGAATTTGCTCCAGCTCTGGATCAAATGGATTTCTCTGGTACTGATGGGGGAGGTCACGGGTTAAAAGGCTGCTGGCAGTGGACACCATCTTTACCTTAAATGTGGTCCAAACTTATGAACATCCATTTCCTGGCATATCTCACTGTCTCCTGATTGTTGGCTTTAAAAATACAAAATTGAATGGCATGCCTGTAATCCCAGTGGCATGGGAGGCTGATATGGGAGGATCATGAGCCAGCTTCAGCAACAATGAGACTAATCAACAGTGAGACCTTGTCTCTAAATAAAATGCAAAATAGGGGCTGGTGATGTGGCTCAGTGGTTGAGGGTCCCTGAGTTCAATCCCCAGTACCTAAATAAATAAATAAATAAAGCAAAAAAGTCTCAGGGGCCAGGCATAGTGGGAGGCTGAGGCAGGAGAATTGCAAGTATAGGGAGGTCCTGAGCAGTTTAGCAAGACCTGCTATAAAAAAGAAAAGGGAGGGAGATGGAATGTGGTTGGGTGGTTAAACAACCCTGGGTTCAATCCCCAGTAACCACTACAGAAACAAAAGCAGCAGCATCAGGGGTGTAGCTCAGTGGTAAAGCATTCAAGTTCAGGCAACTAGGAATATTGATTTGAATTTAAAACCGGGCAAAGGGCTGGGGATGTGGCTCAAGCGGTAGCGCGCTCGCCTGGCATGCGTGCGGCCCGGGTTCGATCCTCAGCACCACATACAAACAAAGATGCTGTGTCCACCAAAAACTAAAAAATAAACACTAAAATTCTCTCTCTCTCTCTCTCTTTAAAAAAATAAATAAATAAAATAAAACCGGGCAAAACGTGGACTGTAGCCACAGGGCAGATAATGAGCTATATTAGGGGGAAATTCATTTGCATTTCTATAAACAATCATTTGCATTACTATCAATTTTCTGCAACTTACATAGTTGCAAAATAGCTCAAAGGCGGTGAAGGGCACTGCTAATCTTGAGGAGTCCTTGTCATCAGGTCCTTGTTACCTTTCAAGGTCGTTTACAGCTCCTCCAAGAAGCAGGGTTTGTTTCTTATTAACTGTCTCTCGCACCTGGAACATTCTAAGACCTGAGTGATGGCCTCTTCTGTTGGTTTTCTCCTGGTGCTGACTCAGCATGCAAAAGGCCCAGGGTTCCATCCCCAGCACCACACACACACACACACACACACACACACACACACACAGTTTCCTAGCTCTATATCTTGATTGTAGAAAGCTGTTAACCTAAGGTGTTCTTAGTGAGGGGGTGGACAGGATTACCAAGTGTTCAGAGACAAAGGTTTAAAAATTCTTTAACATCACCTATGGCTCCGTGATTCTCAAGCCAGGGATAATTTGCCCCCACCTGACGTTTTACAATGTTTGAACACATTTGTGGTCATCACACTGGCACAGGGCTGCCACTCGCATCCAGTAACATCTTTCCATGCAGGATGGTTCTCTAACAGACACACTCAACCCAATGTCAATGCTGCCAAGGCAGAGAAGTCACTCTGGGGAATACCTAGAGTGTCCATTCAGAGATAATACATTCAGGCGGAAGATTCTAGGCTCCAAGAGGACCTCAGGTCCTCTGTCCCCAGCCTCGACTCCTTGCCAGCTCACCACCAAGCACCGCCTCCTTAAGGCAGATCCTAGCAGCCACCGGCCAGCATGGAGGTCTGTGAACTGAGGCTTTATGGGGTCAGAACGGGGAGTCTCAGGGATATTCTGGCCCATGCCTGACATCATGGGGTATGTTGTGTGAAGTCTATGGACCAGTTTCTTTGGTTTCTGGAAAGCAAAATTCCCAGTCCTTTTCTTTCTTTCTTTCTTTTTTTTTTAAATTTTGAAACAGTTCTAGCTAAATTGCCCAGTCTGGTCTCAAAACTTGCGAATGTCCTGCTTCAGTCTCCTGAGTAAACTGGGATAAGTGTGCACCACCTGCCTGGCTAGACTGGCTTATCTTTCAGAGACCTTTCCAGGGGTCTAGGAGTTAGACTTCTTGCACCCAGGGCCTGTTGGTTGGAGAGAGCTGTTATGCACCCCCCAAAGGGGAGCTGTTCCTAAGAAGGCTGAACCATGAGGTGGGACCATGGGGCCAGGAAGAGACACTGTGTCCCTGGAGGCACACCCCTGTCTAACCTGCCTGTTCTGTCGCTGCACAGACCCTGCCCCTCTCCTAGGGTTGGAGGGATTCAGGACAAAAATGAGAACATCTAAGAAGCACTTAGTACAGTGCCTGCCACATGCTCAGTCCTTCCCCAAGGTCTGCTCTTAAGCTCCTACTGTTATTACCATGAACCATATTAAACTGTGTCATTAGATCACATGATGTACCACATTAAATACCTCCAGGAACTGCCCTGGAGGAACTCCTGACCTTTTTCCTGCTTCATGGAACCATCTGGATCTTTCTCACAATGAGATAAAATGAAACAAAAGCCTTTAAAAGTCTTACTTCCGCAGTGACATAAGCCTGTAATCCCAGCAGCTTGTGAAGCTGAGGCAGGAGGATTTCGAGTTCAAAGACAGCTTCAGCAACATTGAGGCACTAAGCAATTCAGACCCCATCTCTAAGTAAAATATAAAATAGGGCTGGGGATGTGGCTTAGTGCTTGAGTGCTCCTGAATTCAATGTCCAATACCTGCCCCTCCCCCCCAAAAAAGAGTCTTGCTTCCTGAGGCAGCCTTGCTGGAAGGCAGTATTTAAAAAATGCCTTCTCTCCTATTAAAAAGAATATTTGGAGAAGCAAAAGCAATAAAAAACCACCCATGATTCCCCCCTGTTTTATATGCAGGTGTTATTACCTTTGGAGGGGCTTCATAGGGACTTTTTTGGTCTTTAAGATTTTCTGTTTAACAAAAAAAAGTAAAGAAAGTTTCTATGTAGAAATTTTATTTCAGGCTGGGGTTGTGGCTCAGTGGCACAGCGCTCGCCTAGCACATGAGAGGACCTGGGTTCGATTCTCAGCACCACATAAAAATAAATAAATAAAACAAAGGTTTTGTGTCCAACTACAACTAAAAAATAAACATTAAAAAAAGAAAACAATTTATTCCAAGAAAACATTATTGTGAAAGTAGTAATATATGTTGACTAGAGAAAAAGTATATTGACAAAATGAAAAGAAAAAAGTTTCATCTGGATGTGCATACATACTAATGCAAAATGTTAATGAGAAAAACTATGAGTCAAGCCTGGGGTTGATTATGGAACATGTGGTGGTCTCTTTACTGTCTGCTCTAGTTTTCTGTAAATTGAAGACTACTATGACCAAAAAACAAAACAAAAGACTATTAATTTTGTTTCAAAATCCATCTGGCCCATCCCAGTAGCACATGTTGGTAATCCCAGTGACTGTGAACTTTTTTTTGGAGGAGGGGTACTGGGGATTGAATGCATGGATGCTTAACACTGAGTTACATCCCCAGCCCTTTTTTTTTTTTGTGTGTGTGTGTATGTGTGTTTGGTGCTGGGGATTGAACCCAGGGCCTTGTGCGTGTGAGGCAAACACTCTACCAACTGAGCTATATCCTCCCCAGCCCTTTTATTTTTTTATTTTTTTGTGGTGTTGGGAATTCAACCCAGGCTGTGCATGCGAGGAAAGCACTCTACCAAGTGAACTATATCCACAGCCCCTTCCCCAGCCCTTTTATAGAGTTTATATTCTATTTTGAGACAGGTGCTCTATAAGTTGCTTAAGGCCTCACTAAATTGCCCAGGCTGGCCTCAAACTTGTTGTTCTCCTGCTTCAGTTGCTGAGTTGCTAGTATTACAGGCATGTGCCAACTTGCCCAGCTAATTTCAGAGATTGGGGAAACTGTGTCAGAGGGACCATAAGTTTGAGGCCACCCTAGGCAACTTAGTGAGGTATAAACAAACAAACAAACAAATCTATCTGAACTATTTTATCCATTGATAACCATTGATAATACTGGGCATTTATTCTTGGATCGGGGGTGAACAATGTTCATAGCCGGAGTAGTAGCAGTCGTAACAGGTGACTTCCCATGCTCTCATGGCTCTGAATACTTCCGACACTCTGTCGTGAGGAGCCTCACAGAGCTTCCTTTGTGCCAGGCACCCTCTTAACATGCATGATCCACTCATGCACTCCTTCTGAGGATCCCGGGAGACTGTTACCATCACTATCCCCATTTTAAGATCAGGAAGCCGAGGCCCTGCAGATCTCCTAACTTGCCTCAAGCTCCATAGCTGGGAGGTGGTGGAAGTGACATTAGGACCCTCGATGAGGGGGCCATGCCTGGTACCGCATATTTTAGAAAATAAGGCAGTTGGGAAAGTGGACATAGGTTCCTTCTTAAGGACCAGAGGGAGACTGAATGTACTGGAATCAGGATTAGTTAGTGCCGGAAAGTGTCATGAAAAGTGTGGGTCCTGCTTTCTGGGGCATAAAGCCTTTAAGCCCAGCCTAGCTGCTGGCTGACCCGTGGCTTTGTGCAGCCACTCTGAGCTTCTGTGTCCTCACTTGTGAAGTAGGTTGGATCGTTCACACTTGGATTACAGTTGGGGGAACATGGAACTCTGTGCAGGTTTTAGGTGCTTGATAAAAACAATAGCTCACGTTTATTGCATATATCAACTGGTTGCAGCTGATCTGAGGGTGGGGCTTGAAGGGGCTGGCGCAGGGAGATTTAGCGGGTAGCTATGTGTCCTACATGTGGAGCATCCTTCTGGATGTAGGAGAGAGAGAGAACAGGAAGCACAGGCCTATTAGCCAAAGAATGCTATTTCCTCCTCAAAGTTACATGCAGGAGCTTCTAACGACCGTTTCCTTCCGTTCCTTCTTTTTTTTTTTTTTAATGGCAGCCTTGGAGGATTGAACCCAGGGCCATCCCCAGCCCTGACATGCTTCCTTTCTTAAGCAACTTCTTTAGGACATAAGTCACACATCCCAAACTTAGTTGGGATCCTAATAGTGCCACATTTTTTTTTTCCACACAGTGCCCCAGACAATGGGGTATTTGGTGGTTCCACCCTATACGGAGGCAAACATACTAAAAGCTGTCCACATCCAACATGAAATATAATTACGTGTAACTATTTGCTTTAAGCTGGGCTTGGTCACCGCATGCTCTGTAATCCCAGTGGTTGAGGAGGCTGAAGCAGGAAGATCTTAAGTTCAAAGCCAGACTCAGCAATGGGGAGGTGCTAAGCAACTCAGTGAGACCCTGTCTCTAAATAAAATACAAAATAGGGCTGGGGATGTGGCTCTGTGGTTAAGTGCCCGTGAGTTCAATCCCTGGTACTCAAAAATAAATAAAATAAATAAAAAATAAAAGTTTGCTTTAGTTTTAGATTGACTTATTATTACATTTTGAGGCTTTTTACATATTGACTTTTAACCTCCTTCCTCTTTCCCAAACTTTTTTTCTTGTGTTCACAAAACTTCATCAGCCCTTTGGAAATTTTGTGGGTCATAGACATTATGTGGGTGCAAATGTGGATGTGGAAGGGGTCGGGTGTGACTGTGAATCACAGGACACATGGTAGAGCCTGACTCCATGTCTGAGGACTGAGTGTGGGGCACATTTGTAAGTCCAAAGAGGTGGCTGGTGGAGTGAATGTGGGAATAGAGTGTGCCAGGTAGTGTGAGGGTGTTCGGATGAATGAGGCAGTGTGTGCAGTTGTGAATTCCAGGAGTATAGGTGGAGAGTGAGGGTGTGGATCCAGACAGGGTGAATAAAGGGTGAGGGAGTCTGAAAAGCTGAGTGTGTCAAGGTGTATGTCCCCATGTGACTATGATTCTTGGGGGGCACACATGTGTGAGATGTAAGGTGTACGGACTAGGGTGACCAAAAGGGGGTGAGATGTGGTTGGTTGTGCCTGCGTGTGCAGTGCGCGTAATTGAGGATATGGGGTGTTGCTGGGGGTTCTGCGCGGCAGGATGTGTGCATGTGTGAACATGACTGTGCCTGTGATGGGGTGAGTGTGGAAAGGTGCGCGTGAGACTGTAATCGCTGGAGATGGGTGGGCCTTGAGCAGGGCTGGCCGGTGGGTGGATGCTGGGGGTGCGGCGGCAAGGCGCGCGCGCGTACGGCGGGGCGGGGGGGGGGGGGGGGGGGGCGGGGGGGGCGCGCGGGGGGGGCGCGCTGCGCGGGCCGGGGGCGGGGACACTGCGGCTGCCGCGGCGGCGCGGACACGGCCGGGCCGCCCCCCGTGGCAGTCGCGGCGCGGAGCAAGCCGGCGCAGCGCGGAGCTCGGGCTCATGGTGCGCCCG